TGCACGTGCTGCGCTCTCTGTTCAGAGAAGGCTAACCCTTTCCCAGAGGTTGATCTGGGGGCGTGCTCTGCAGAGGGGTGACAAGGCACGGTAGTCCTGCCCACGGGGGGCCGAGCCCACTTCCCAAAGGTTTCAGCAGGGCCTCAGGGGCCGTCCACCTGGCCAAACGCCCTTATGTATTCCTGCGGCGACCAGCCCTGCCACCAAGGTAAGCCCGTCAGAAACCCGAGCCCCGGACACCCGACACCCCCACTTCCCTTCTTTCCCCTTGGCAAAGGCTTGACAGGGATCGGCTCCCTGACGGAGGGCGCGCCTGGGTTAATGCCGTGTAAGAGCGACCTGGGGTGGCAACAAATGGCCACACGCCGGGCGGCTTAAAGCAACACAGACTCATCTTCTCACCGTTCCGGAGGCTGGAGTGAGTTTCACGTGACTGCAATCAAGGTGTCGCGGGGCTGCGCTCCCTCCAGGGGGTCCTTCTTGCCTCTTCCAGCCCCTGGGGCCCCAGGCGTCCCCGGGATTGTGGCCTCATCCCTCCAGTCTCTGCCTCTGTCCCCACGTGGCCTCCTTCTCCCCTGTATTCCCTCTGGTAGGGACCCTGTGATGGTATTAAGGGCCCGTCTGGATAACCCAGAGTCATCTCCCATCGCCAGATCCTTAACGTAACCACATCTGCACAAACTTCACCATATAAGGCGACACTCACAGGTCCTGGGATCAGGACTTGACGTGTTTCGGGGCATCTCTCAACTTGCACCCCATAGTTGCCATTGGCTCCTCCTGGTGGTTCCTGGGCTCCCTCTAGGGGGGTTACGGTAACTGAGGGTCGCCTCCTGAACACAGGGCCAGAGAGGCGCCATCCCCTCGTCAGGGCCAGCACTGCCCCAGGGAGGGGACAGTCACCTGCTCTAGGCTAGGCTTCCCTCTCAGCTGCCTGCACGCCCCCCACCACGGCCCGGCTCCAAGCCCAAGGATCCCCCCGTCCCGAACTTTCTGGAATTCCTGAGAACAACAGCAGTAAAATGAAAAGGCTCAAAGCTGGCCCTAGAATTCTGAGACGGAGGGGCTGTCCCGCCACGGCCCCGAGGGTGCACAGCGGGAAGGGGCCGGGGTTGACCGGGCTCTGGGGTCTCTGCCCATCACCTCCCGGCCATGCACCACCTCTGCCCCGCAGCCTTGCCAGCACCAGGGCTCCCCCATTCCCCTCCACTGCCTGCCAGGGCCGTTCTGTGCGACTTCACCCCTTTCCACCTGCATCAGGGGGCGGGGTGTTACCCAAGCCCAGATCTCATCTTGGCCTTCTCTCCATTAAAAGTTGTCCTGGGCACCCTTGTCCCCAGGAAAACGTCCAAATTCTGACCATCCCAGGCATGCTGGGCCCTTTGACAGAAAAATTCTTCCAACTCTAACTCATCACTCCAGGAACTGACTTAGACTCTCCTCCAATGAAGTTTCCCAACTGGTGTGTGTTGCCTCTCACACATACAGATTGCACACACAGACATGCACACAGAGATACATACACAGATATACATACACAGACACACAGATATACACACACACATAGACACAGATACACACACAGAAAACACACAGATGCACACACACAGAGATATACAGATATATACACAGATGCACACCCAGATACACACACAGATGCACACACAGACACACAGATACACATACACACAATGTGCTCACACACACACAAATGCACACACACAGATATACACACAGACACAGATACAAATACAGACACACAATGTGCGCACACACAAACACACACAGACACACACAGATATACACACAGACACAGATACAAATACAGACACACAATGTGCGCACACACAAACACACACAGACACACACAGATATACACACAGACACACAGATGCATACACAGATGCGCACACACAGATGTATGCACATACACACAGATACAGTTTGCCCATCCCTGACGTAGAAGCATACAGGAGGCCCCCAATCGTGCGGGGAATTACTTGGGTATCCTCACGGCAGACAGAGCTCCATCCAGGCCCCTCCCTTGCAAATTCCGCCCGCCATCTCCCTCCGCCACCCAGGAAGATCACCTGGACCATCAGACATCCTCTCGCGTCACCTGATTAGTCACCAGGGAGTGTCCGATTACACCCACAAATGGAAAAAATAATCTGAGGCTGTAACAAAGAACACTTCAGAAAACCAAACCCTCACATTCATTAACCCAGCATCTTGAATCATCCGCGAGGATCCAAAGCATGTAAATTAATTCCGCTACTCCAAAGAGGAACTCTTCTGCCAGTAATTATGCGACATCCTGGCTACTCACTGAATTACCGCTCAAGGGTAATATTCCACTTTCTCTGAGTGGCAGCGGGAGGCGATCACTACAAAAGGTTTAAAACCCAGAATCCACGCAGTTTACTACGTGATCAATGTTTCACTGCACGATGATGTTGCAGCCAGGGCGGGGGACATGAGGCACCCACAGAGGGGACGCACATGGTGGATGGAGGCCCTTAGGACATCGGGGGCCACTGAGGAGCAGGGTCCCTTTGTGGCGTCCGTGGGGGCAGAACTGGGCACCTGAGGATGCAGGACAGGCAGCTGAGAGGGAGAAAAAGAGCCCAGACACCTCGGCCTGATCGGTAATTCTGCCTCGCCTCTCCCCCCACCCCAGGACGCAGCACTGCCTGGGCCCACAGAAGGTCAACATCGAAGAGACGGAAACCCTCCCCTTCCACAACACCAGGGCCACCATCCTTCCTCCAGCTGAGCAGCCTGGGAGGCTCTCTTTGGTCTAATCTCCCAGTGGACAGTGGCTCCTCCGTCCTAGAGACGGTCAGTCATGAGGGCGGAGAGAGCCCTGGCCAGCAAACAGAGATTACAGTAAACTGTCCTGGCCTTCGTGAGCTGCCCAGACAGCTTCCTCCATCTTTCCTTCCCCTTGTATATCGATGACCACCATCGCAGGGAGGGATGCTCTGAAATTGGGTGATCCCCACCATCTGGGAGCCAACAGCAAGTTGTTCCCTAAGAAGAGACTTGAGGCCCAGCCCCGACAAAAGACTTGCAGAGAAACAGGGCAGCACAGCATCACAGACCCCGGAGTGGTGACACGCAAAAGCTCAAGTCGCCTGGTCAGCGTCCTTTTCTCATGAGGAAACCCACAGGAAGTAAGAAGGCCTTGATGCAAACCGCGGCTCAGAGAGGTTCGACCCGCTGCTGAGCCAGTGAGGCCCCTGCCGGCCTGAGGCAGATGCCCCTAAACGCAGGAACATGCCGCACGGCGGGCTCTGAGCCCTCCCTCCAGCTTCTGCTCGCAATGAATAGTACGTCCCAAGTCCCAAGTCCCCAGGAAAGCAAAGGCAGTCACTGCTGACCACGTCATCCAGTTCAAACTGGTGCCTGGACCTTCCCGCGTGAACCGGGACAATCTCCTCTCTCTGAGCTTGCTCCCGCTCTGCGGCAAAGGAGCAGACCACGTTCTCCACTGCAGCCACGTGTTCTTTTGTGCATCCATTTGAAACTGCTCGACCGAGGACCCAGTGAAGGAGCAGGTACCACGTGCATGCTGGGGTTCAAAGCCAGGTGGTTCCTGATAAAGGAACAGCATCTGGCTTCGGCTAGAGAGAGGGCGAGTGGAATGCAGGCTCTGACTGCTTGGCCAGGACAGCTGGGGCTGGCACGGGCCTCCACGGAGCCCTACCACCATCCCCCCACCAGGAGAACGCCCGTCCATGCCCGGGGAGGGGTGAGAGCGGAGGCCAGAGGAGCAGCTCCGAGCATGTGGGGGGACCGCAGGGAAGGGTGTGAAGAAGGGAATGAAAGGATCGGAACTGGACTTCAGGAAGGACTAGAAGCCATGGTGCTGGGTAGGAAAACCAGTTAGGATGTGACCCCCAAAGCCGATGGTGACCAGGACCAGGGTGGGGGCTGTGGCTCCGACACTCTGCTCCTGCCTGCCGTCGTTATAGCCCCAGGACATGCATTCTCACCGGGGTCTTGGAGGGTTAAATGGATCTTAGTGTTTTTAAGTGTACAGCACAGATACACAAGCAGAACATAAACAGATATATGGCATTTCGCCAATATTCATATTTCATTGGGATGGACAGTTAGGAAAAAATGTCTACAACGGCTTCTTGGACACATAATAATAAAAAAAAAGGCTGAGAAACATTGTCCAAGAGGGTCTGGACCATACACATCTGCCCTTCATGGTCCCTACCGTGCAGGCAGGGCCAGGCTGGGAGGCATTGCCCCACAAAGAGCCCAGTGTGTGCTCAGCCAGGGCTGCAGCGAGCCACTCGAGACAAACGTAGCTGTGAGCAAGGAATCTACCTGCTGGGAGCCTGTTCCCTCCCCCGAGAACGGCAGTAATTTCACTTTCTTGGGGAAGTCAGTTACGGTAAGGATCAACATTCAGGCGACATTCGGCAAATGCCAACTTTAAGCACACATTACAGATGAAATGATACCAGTGGTGCAGAGTAGGTGCTCAAAAAAACAGGTCCAGGCACTGGGCAGGGAGCTCAGGGCGTGTCTTGACTATGCAGAACCAGAGGTCATGGGCTTCCCTCCCTCGTTCCCTGTGCCTGGGGAACAAACAGGTGTCCCCCTGGTCCATGCAAAAATGGAGGAGGGCCACTGGCAGCGCCTCCTGCACCATCCACCCTTAGCCACATGGCAGAGTCCAGCACGAGCACCACAGCTAGGACATCTCAGAGCAGAGACGAGAGGCAGAACTGGGGCCTCAAGCCTCGGTCCTGTTAAGTCCCCTCAAGGTCGCGTTAGCTGGGCACCAAGAGGCAGCTGTTTCTCCAGCACCGAGGACAGCTCTAACCACCTCTCCCCACCCTAACGCCAGCACTTGAGGCCTGACCACGAGGAACCGGCTGTCCTCTGGCCACAGCGCAAAAGGGGTGAGGCAGACCACACCAGGACAACGGGGACTGCCTTGCAGGCAGCAAAGACAAGGAGAAAATGTTCTAACTCACCAGAGGTGCTGGCAAACTGGGCCAGGCAGAAAGGCTTCTTAGAACAGGACCTGTCTGTGCTCCGGCGGGCCAAGGCACGGAGACTGGAGAGATTTCCTGAGCTGCAGAGACAAGAAGACCAGGGCGTGGTCAGACAGAGGCTGTCGAGAGGCAGAACGTTAAAAAACTTCAAGTGGATCTTGATTTCCCTGAGCTAAAAATCAGGCACTGCACTTTTGCTTCCGGAAAGACGGAGTAGGCGTACTTTGCCCTATTCTTCTCATGGAAAGCAACTAAAATCCCAGGATGCTGCACAGAAAACAAACCTAAGACTCTGAAATGTGGCGAGAAGGCAGAGTGGCTAGGGACTGTGGGACCCGGGGAACGGTGAGGTGGTCACTTCTCTGAATTGGGTTTTTGCCTCATATCCCAGACCTGGAGCTGAAGAAGTCGGAAACCCAGAAACCCCAATAGAAGCCAAAAAAAACAGCTGCAACAAATGACTGTTCTCTCTAGCCTAAGGACCAGGAAAGTGGCAGCCAAACAAGACAATACATTTACACAGTAACCGCTCTACTCCATCCAGACACCACAGAAAAGACTGTGGTGCCCACCCTGATCCACAGCAGCAAAGGACGAGTGGGGAGCCTAGACTTCCACCCTCCTGTGGCTGTAATGAGGCACCCAGACCCCCCCCCGGGGGTGTCAAATAAGCCAAAGTAGGGAGCTGGGACTGTCTTCCTCACCAGGCGATAACGAATCCTTCTCTCGTCCCATTGTATTAGTGCAGGCAACATGGGGAGCTGGATTTCCACAACCACTTGGCAGTCACAAGGGGCCGCTTGCTCACCCCGCTGGACTGGTGTCAGAAGAGCGCTGATGGAGAGCCAAGACCTTCTCCAAAATTCAACAATAATGAGGCCACCCCCATTATGCTGTCAATGGGGACCACATGAGGAGCGGGAACCCCCAACCCCACCAGCAATAACAAGGAGCCTCCCCACTTGGGTATCAAGGGACCTCTACCTGGCAGCAATGAGGCAGCGCCCCCCTTCCCTTGTGATAGTGGTGTCAGAACAAACCAGCTAAAACAGAAGGTCAAAGTAAGACCCACAGTCTCATAACATAATATGAAAACGTACACATTTCATTGAAAATCATTCGTCATCTCAAGAACCAGGAAGACCTCAAATGGAAAAAGGATAATCCACGGGATGCCAACACTGAGGTGGCAGAGATGTTAGAACAATCTGATGAAGAGTTTAGAGCAATCACAATGAAAACGCTTCAATAAGCAATTATGATCACGCTGGAAACAGAGGGAAAAACAGAACGCCTCACCAAAGAAACAGAAACTCTCAGCAGAGAAATAGAAGATATACAGAAGATCCAAGTGGAAACGTTAGAACTGAAAAATACAGTGACTGAAAAGAGAAGCTCAGCAGATGGACTCAACAGCAGAAAGCAGAGGATAAAGGAAATAGCCCTGAACTGGAAGAAGGAAAAACAGAAATTACCCAAACTGAACAACAGACAGAAAATAGACTAAAAATAAATGAACAGAGCCTCAGGGCCCCGTGGGACTATAACCAAAGATCCAACATTCAACTCATCAGAATCCCAAAAGGAGAGAAGAAAGGAGAATCTAAAAAAGTACTCAAAAAAATAATGGTTGAAAACTTCCCAAATTTGACAAGAGACATAAACGCATGGATTCAAGAAGCGGAACAATCTTCAACAGGATAAACTCAAGGAAATTAACACCAAGATGCATCATAATTAAACTCTTGAAAACTAACAACAAAGAAAAATGTTGAAACCAGGCAGAGAAAAATGATACCTTATGTATAGGGGGGAAAACAACTGGAGTAATAGTGTATTTCTCATCAGAAATCATGGAGGCCAGAAGGAAGTGGCAGAATAATTTTAAATGAAAATAAAGAACTATCAATCTAGAATCCTATAAGCAGCAAAAAAAGAAAAAAAAAATCCTATAAGAATAAAGGGAAAAATTAAGACATTCTCAGATGAAGAGAAACTAAGAGAATTCATCATCAGCAGGCCTATCTAAAAGAATGGCTAAAGAAAGCTCTCCAAACATAAAGGAATCCTTAAAAGAAGAAATTTTGGAACACCAGGAAGGAAAAAAGGACATAGTAAGCAAAAATATGGATAAGTACAATAGGCTTTTACTCCTTTCAAATTTTAGAAATTATGTTGACAGTTGAACCAAAAATTATTAACACAATCTGATTTGGTTCTAAATGTATGTAGAGAAAATATTTCAGACATTTTTATTATAAATGGGGGAGGGTGAAGAGGCATGAAAGGAGGTAAGGTTTGTATATTTCACTCAAACTGGTATCACAATAGATGGTGATAAAGTTATGTGAATACAATATAATGCCTTAGAGAAATCACTTAGAAAGCCATACAAAGTTCAAAAAAAATTACAGACAAATCAAAATGAGATTCTAAGAAATATTCAAATAACCTACAAGAAGGCAGGAAAAAAACCAGAGAAATGAAAAACAGAGAGAACAAACATAAAACAAAAAATAAAATGCCTGACTTAAGCCCTAACATATCATTAAATGTAAATGGTCAAAATACATCAGTTAAAAGACAGAGATTGGCAGATTGGATCAAAAAAGATTAAAGAAGACCCAATTATATGTGAGGTCTAAAAAAAATTCACTTAATATAATAACATAGGCAGGAAGAAAATAAAAGGAAGAAAAAAGACATAGTATGCCAACTTTAACCAAAGGAAAGCAGGCACGGCTATATTAACATTAGATAAAGTAGACATCAGGGCAAAGAAAACTACCACGGAGAGGAACATTATATAATGACAAAAGGGCAATCCACCAAGAAGACATAGCAATTCTAAATATATATGCATCCAACAACCGACGAGTAAAATATGTGAAGCAAAAACTGATAGAACTAAAAGAAAAAAGAGACAAATGCACAATTATAATTGGCGACCTCAACCCACTATCTCAACAACTGATAGAACAACTAGACAGAAAAATCAGCAAGGAGATGGAAGCTCTCAGCCACACCATCAACCAACAGGATCTAAGTGATATTTATAGATCATTCCACCCAACACCAGCAGAATCCACTTTCTTTTCAAGTGCTCATGGAACGTATAGCAAGATAGACCATCTCCAGGGCCATGGAACAAATTCAACAACTTTAAAAGAAGTGAAATCATCCAGAGTGTGTTTTCTGACCACAACAGAATCAAATTAGAAATTCATAACCAAAGGGTAACAGAAAACTCCAAATACTTTAAACTCAACAGCACACTTCTAAACAATCCATGGGTCAAAGGAGAAGTTTCAGAGGAATTTTTTTAAAGTACGTGAAAATGAAAAAACATCAAACTTTGTGGAACACAGCTAAAGAAGTGCTGAGACAGATATTTATAGCACTAAAGGTATAAATTAGAAAAGAAGAATAATCTCAAATCAAATTTGAAGTCCCCATCTCGAGAAGCAAGCAAGAAGAGGGGAAAAATAAGCCAGAAGCAAGCAGAAGGAAGGAAACAATAATCATAGGAGTGGAAATAAATGAAACCAAAACAGAAAAAAGACAGAGAAAATCAATGAAAGGATGAGCTAGTTCTTTGTAAAAGTCAATAAAATTGACAAAACTCTAGCAAGACTGACAAAGAAAAAAGAGAGAAGACCCAAATTACCAACACCAGGAATGAAAGAGAGGATCTCTTTACAGACCTACAGACACAAAAAGGGTGATAAAGGAATACTATGAACAGCTCTAGAGACATAAATTTGACAATATAGATGAAATGAACCAATTCTTCAAGAAATAGAAACTATCACAACTCATTCAATAAGAAAAGGGTCATTCAAAAGCTCCATAACTATTAAGGAAATTGAATTCATAATTTTAAAACTCCAAGTTTGGTAAGAAAAAGGAAATCTCCAAATGGTTTCACTAGAGAATTCCATGAAATGTTTAAAAGAAGAATTAATACCAATTCTACACCGTCTCTTCCAGAAAACAGAATCTCTTCTCAATCCATTTTATGGAACAAGTGTGACCCTGATACTAAAACCAGATAAAGAGAATACAAAAAATAACCCCACAGATCAATATCCCTGATGATTATATACATAAAAATCCTTCACAAAATATTATCAAATAGAATTCAGCAATACATGAAAAGAAATGTACACCATGACCAAGTTGGGCTTATTCCAGACATGCAAGACTGGTTTGATGTTTTTTTTAAAACATCAATCCACCTAATACACTATATCAACAGGCTAAAGAAGAAAAATCACACGATCATAACAATCAATGCAGGAAAAGCACTTGACAAAATTCAATATCCATCTATGACAAAAACTCTCCCAAAAACAGGAACAGGGGGAACTTCCTCAACTTAATGAAGAGCATCTACAGAAAACCGTCTGCTGGTTTTATTCTCAATAGGGAACAATCAAATGCTTTCCCTCTGTGAGCGGGAACAAGGCAAGGATGTCTACTCTCATCACTCCTACTCAGCAGTGCTAGACATTCTAGTCAGTGTGATAAGGCCAGGAAAGGAAATAAAAAGCATACAGATCAGAGAGGAAGAAATAAAACTGCCTCTATTTACAGATGACATGATTGTAGAAAATCCCAAGGAATCTACCAGGAAAAAAAAAAATAACCTCCTAGAAATAACAAATAAGTTGGGGAAGGCCACAAGATACAAGATCAAGAAATAAAAGTCAATTGTATCCACATACACCAGCGACGAACATGTGGACATCAAAACTAAAAATACAATACCGTTTATAATTGCTCAAAAAAAAGTGAAATACTTAGGTGTAAATCTAACAAAACACATACAAAACTTGTATGCTGAAATCTATGCAGCACTGATGAAAGGAATCAAAGAAGATCTGAATAAGTGGAGAGACAGATCCCGTTCATGGAGGGGAAGACTCGATGCAGTCAAGACGTCAACTCTTTCCAAATTGATATATGGGTTGAATGCAATTTCAACCAAAATCCCAGCAAGATATTTTTGTAGATATAGACAAGATTATTCTAAAATTTATATGGAA